GAATCCCTGGCACAGGGAGGCAGCAGTGCTAACCACCAAGCTACCGTACCACCCTTGTTAGTAGTTGAAATTAGTTGCTATGGGAGATGAGAGGGCTGGTGATCTGGTGGTTAAGTGAGAATTTATCTAATCAAGAATTTTACCTTGGAATCACTTAGATGGAAGGTGATTAGGGCAGGGATAGGTGGGTATGCAGGAAGGTGGAGTGTCGCTATACAATTAGGTGCATAATAAAGATTTATTGAGGTAGATCAAGTAATCGGTAAACTCAAGGCTGTGTTTTCTTTTCTCATGTCAAACCTCCCAGGATAGTTTCCGATACATTATTGTTTAAATTCAACTTTACCAAAATTAGTCAATCGTTTCTCACTAACACACTTAATTCCTTGTCAGTTTAGATTTTGCTTATTTAAATTTTACTTTTCTTTCTTTATTTAGTCTTAGTTGGTCTCCACTACCAGGGATGAGGAACTTCAGCTATGTGAAAAAACTGGCACATTTGAGTTTGTTGTCCTTAAGAGTACAAAAGGTCAAGAAGATATGCGTAAAGTGTGCAACATCATTTCTTGTGGAGCTCAATAGTTTGACTGATCTGTGCTTGATCATGTTAGGCTGGTAGCTGGTCTTTGTTAACTGTACCTGATTGCTTAAGCTTGTTGATGGAGCTAGAGAGCTAGGAAAACCATGAAAGTTCCAGTCAAGAAAGGAAGCTCTGGCCTATGACCTATGCATATAGAAAATCCTGTAAGTTCTATGATATTTTCATGTATGATAATCAAAGTTTGTTAGTTCAGCATTTTCATCTCTGCATTGTTCTGAAATAAATGTAAAATATGCGACATACAGAATACCGGGGAATGCATAACAGTTTTCATTTCTATAAATAAAGAAAAACTATTTCCACTGGCAGATCCATGAGTAGCCAAAGGATACAGATTTAAGGTGTTTGGCTAAAGAACCAAAGTCAACATGTGAAAGCATTCCCTGATTGAGTGAGTTGTTGTAATCTGAAATTCACTGCCTGAAAGGGAACAGATCCATATTAATTTTCAAAATAGAACTGGAAAATATTTGAAGGCAGAAACTTTTACAGGGCAATAGGTAAATTTTAGGACTGAATTGAGAAGGAACTTCTTCACCCAGAGGGTTGTTAATCTATGGAATTCCTTGCCCAGTGAAGTAGTTGACGCTACTTCAGTAAACGTTTTTAAAGATAAGGTAGATTTTTTTTAAACAATAAAGGAATTAAGGGATACAGTGAGAACGCGGGTAAGTGGATCTGAGTCCACGAAAAGATCAGCCATGATCTTATTGAATGGTGGAGCAGGCTCGAAGGGCCGGACGGCCTACTCCTGCTCCTAGCTCTTATGTTCTTATGTTCTTATGTAAAGAGCAGAGGAATGGGACAAACTGGATAATGCTGCCACAGATCAGGCACAATGGGCTGAATGGCCTCATTCTATAACAGTTGGTTCTATGATTAGATCAACTTAGATTAAACACTGCTTGCCCAAGGATGTCTAGTACCCAAGCATGTTTGTGTAACACAAATGTTTACTGGTTTTATTATACAACGTTGCATTTTACAATTCAAAACTATATTATGGTGTGGTAATTCCCTAGTAGTTCCTGGTTATGAGTCTTCCCCCAGCCAACCTCCTCATGAAGTTGGAAGAGCTGTTGCCTGTTGTGTAAGTGAACGGCTGAAAGAGTTAATGTTGAAGTTCGATCAGCTCCACCCAATTTGATGATATCTCACACAGTACAAACATGACATGAGCTATTGCAGGGAGCAGGCGTATTCTGTACACCTCCCAAGAGCCCTGATGCCTGAGAAGTGAGGTAAACAGTACTTATTGCTGTCATACAAGAAGTAAGTCATCTTGTTCATAAAGACAAATGCTTTTGTTGGGACTCACCAGCAATGGTGCACAAAAATCTAGGAGCTCTTTGCAGTGGTAAAAATACTTAGAGGGAACGTTGTTCACCTGTGATTCTGTTGAAATTGACCAGTGGACTATCTTCCATCACTGACAGCCTAGACACAGTATAGACAAGAGGATTGATTGCAGTGTACCACGTACTGGCTGAGATGGCACATGCCACAAGGCGTCAGTAGTGGCAATCAGGCCAAACACCACACTGTCCATCAGATCTTTGCACATATATTGTGAACTGGACAAAAAAATATCCGTTCCTCACTGGGATCTTGCTGCTCAAAATTCTCCATTGTTGCTGCTTGTGGTTTTCATTTTGATCCATGTTTGAGAACTTGGAACACATGTTTGCATTCCATCTTTATGGCTAAACAAGTCTGTCTTCACAATCAAATTTGTATCGAAATCTGCTGGATGAGACTGTGACAACGTTTCATACAATTTGCAATAGTGTGACATGAATTAAATTCGAATAGTAAAATGAAATGCTTTAATTGTACGATAGGTCACTTAGCATCGAAATGAGAATGATGGGTTGGAAGAAAGGTTTGCATTTATATAGCACCTTTCATGACTGCTAAACACCTTGAAGGACTTTAGTGTAGTCACTGTTGTGATGTAAGAAATGTGGAGATCAATTTGCACACAATAAACTCCCACAAACAGCAATGCGGTGATGATCAGATAATTGTCATTTACTGTTGACAGAGGGATAGATATTGGTCAGGACTCTGGAGATAACACAACTTTCCTTCTGCAAAATGTTGTAATATCCACCAGAGCAGGCAAGTGGAGTCTTGCTTTAATATGCCATTCAAAAGGCAGCATGTTGACAGAGTAGCACTCCCATTGAGTGGGAGCCTTGATTTTTGCTCTCAGCTCCTGGAGTGGGACTTGAACCTGGAACTACATGTCTCTGAAGTAAGACGGTCTACCTCAACTGAGCCAGAGCTGACTCAGTTTAATGTTACCAGTGAAAAGCTTTAATCAGATCTTACTGAGTCAGGCTAGTGAAATCTTTTCCAGAGAACTTGGGATCATTACATATGGTGCAATGTCAAACTGTGGCGGGGATCCAACCTCATAACGCCTTTGATGAGGTGATCTTGCGGCACAATTAGTAGTGGCCATTCCTCTCAGCCAGAATTTCCAAGTTCATCCAGGTTTATCCAATTCTGAGGTTCACCCAGCACCAAGCTGTGGAAGGTGTTTTCATAACATGGATGAACACGTTGAGCATCAGCCTGCAAATCCTTCCAATGCACACCAGTGGCAGGCAGTCAGGGTGGGTGAGATTTCTGGTCAACTGGATGATGGAAAGGAAAGTTGGAGCTTCTACCATCTTCATATATATCTCCAGACTACAACAGGACATGTAAAGTGCCACACAGATTCCCTGATTGAACTGCAACCCAGTACTAGACATTTGATATCATTAAGGAATTGGATTGCTTGCAGAGTAGTGACTGGAATCTAGACAGAGAGATTCCCTTGACCATACAATGTAACTTCTGAAATAAACTTTGAAGAACCAATTTGGAAACAATTCAATTCCTACTTGGATTTTGTTTAGTACTTTAACAAATGAATAGGAAGGTAGGGAAGTAGGAAGAATAACTGAACTTCCTTTTAGAAAATGATAAGCATCGGCTTACAGTGAGTAATGTGAATATGACCTGCAATCTATCATTGCAATGTCAATATTCACCTTCCTGTGTGTGTGTGTGTGTGTGTGTGTGTGTGAACTTATTAAGTGGATTATATACATAACTATGGGTTAAATAAACTCATCGGAGACAGTCTATTTGTAGCCTTACATTCTCTATGACTGTACACTAGCATCAGGCTTCTTAAGAGCAAATGTCTGTGATGCTGTTGGGAGTGAGCCAGGCAGTCATCCTTGACACGTTATCAGGACTTGGGGACGATAACAAAATGTTCAAGAGGCGAATTTGAGTTTGTTGCTGACTTCAGAGCAGATTCCCTGGTATGAGGAGCATGTTGTGAAGAGCAGGTTGACACTGAGTCGTCTGAGTGATCCCAAACAAGTCTCTTTCAAAAGCGGTCACATTTCAGTTTTAAACTCACTCTAGAAGGAGCCTTGACCCTGCTATGCCTCCTTCCTTCTTTGGTCCCCTGGGTTTCTTGCTGCTCTGTGCTCTCTACCATCCAGTAGGATCATGGTGGTGGTTTGAGGGTGATGTTTCGCCAACCACTCAGACAATACAGCAGCCTGAAGTGACAACACCCTCCTGGCCTATAAGAGAAGATGACGTGCAGTTAATTCAAACTTCCGAAAAGACATCTAACGAAAACAATGCTCAAGGTATATAATTATCATTATCTCTTTTGTCAGAATCAGGACTGGAATACTAATCGTGCAGAAGTTGGAAAAAATGGGTGAAACATGATTGTGAATGGTTGGTGTGCTTCCAGGGCTGGCAAAAGCAAAACCAGCCAATGTTTATTGCTGGAAAAAGCATTCTGTGCATGTCCATTGAGAAGAAAGCTAGACTTGGCTGCGATGCTTCTCTAGCTGAATAGTTTCACTTGATATTTACTGACAAGACTCAAACATGCACACAAGTCATTTTGAACAAGAAATGGAGGGATGCTGCTAGTAACTGCATTCACATGGGGGCAAAAAATTAACACAGAGGTAGAAATGTAAGGATTAAACTAGCTTTGTTTTCCTTGTATTCTGTTCTAAGCATATACATGGATATGTAAATTATCTTGTCAGTTTTTCCAACAATAGAGTCAGTTGTATAATCCAATCAGTATTACAATCTCTTTATCCAACTCAAAGATACAATATTGGAGAGTTGAGGGGGCAATAAGTAAAGTAAATCCACTTGCAATTCAATTTTGCTCACGGTTTGAACATTTTTAGAAACTGGCCATTGGCATTAGTTGGCAATTCTCAGTAATTATTTTTGCTTTTTTCTTGGTAGTTGTTTATATGAATCTGAAATGTGTGGGTAGGGTGGAGGGAGGGGGTGGTGGTCGTGCATGGTCAGAGTTGAGGGGGGAGGTGGTAGGGAGCTGCTGGAAGATTACCCAGGTTTTTACCTGCACAAAGTGCAGGGCAGTCAATTGTCGTCTGGGACATTGGCAAACAAGAATCTTCCAACACTGACAATCCATTGTCAGTTTGTGGAAGCTCAGGGTCAGTGTTGTGATGCAGCTTACCACTTCAGACTTGCGTTTGAATCCAGCCTAGACTGGAAGCTGGAAGTGTTGCAAGAAACTAATTATATGGTGTTTCAATCTAGATCCTGGTGGATAACAGCATTTGAACACTCCTGGTTGGGTTGAATATCTGTGAGACACTGCATATTGTTTGATTTTACTCATTTCTTAATTGATTCATAGAGCTAGTGACTAGGATGGGGATACCTGGAGAATATCTTTTCTTCTCTACCCCAGGGAAAATGTAATTAATCACAACAAACTCTTCAGATCCTTTCTGATCTCTCTGTCTTAGCCGCAAACTGGAGAGTTCACCAGCACCGAACCATTGAGGAAGTTGGCAGAATCTTCTTCATGAAAACAGTCATCAACAGAATAAAAATTCTACAAATCAGTATGTTCTTGGAGTTCTAATAATACAACATTGTACCTGAAATGAATCAGTGTCAGAGCAGGGGTTTCCCCTCCAACAATGTCCCCCACCACCCCCCTCCAATTTGCATTTCACAGCGAGCTTATAAAGTTTTTTCAATGTATTTATTCACAGGATGTAAGCATTGCTCACTAGGCCTGTATTTATTGCTCATCCCCAATTACCCATGAGCTGAGAGACTTGCTAGGCCATTTCAGGACATAAATGCAGTGCAGCAGTTCAGAAGAGGTTCATAGATTGATACATGGAATGAGCAGGTTGTCTTATGATGGAATGTTGGATAGGCTGGGTTTTTTTTCTCAGTGGAGTTTAGAAGGCAAGGGCTCACTTGACTGAAGTGTTTCAGACCTTGAATAGTCTTCACAAGGATGTCTTCGCGTATATGTCAGATCGTGTGTTCAAGTGAGGCTTGGACCCTTGAATTTCCAGTTATCAGTTTTCAGGTCTTTAGCTCTCACCCTCAGTCTATTAGTAGCATTGGCAAAGATGTGGAAGTTCTATGTCTAGCATTTGTACAAATTTTTCTTAAAATCAGAAATGCATGTCCTGCAGAGAGAGTTACAGAGGTTTAGGAAATACACGTTGCCATGGTAACCATGAGTGTATCACCCCTTAAACATACAAGTTTCCCTGAGGTCAAGGGAGGTGATGTTGTAAGCTTGCAGCCGGATGTAACTGGATATTGTTCAACTGTGCAGGAGGTGGATTGTTTTAGGAGCTGAGGCTATAGGAAGAATGGTTGATACATCAACTGAGAAAAGTTTATCATCTGACTTCATGCAGAATCTGATATTATGCTCCAAGAGAAGGGCAAAGTAACCAGTTTGCACATAAAAATAGGCTTACCAAGTTCTGGAAATATTGCTCACTGTAAATGGACAGACTATGGGTGGATCTGCACCACATGGTTTACAGTAGTTAGAGATGGCAGCTCACCACCACCTTCTCCATGGTAATTAGGGATGGGCAGCAAATTCTAGCCCAACAGCCACATCCCATAAATGAATAAAATAATATTTAATGAATTCAACAGACTGACTCTCTAAAACTATTTAAGGAACCAAATTCCAAGTGTATGCAAACAATTTCTTTAAACTCAACTGTATATTTATAAATAGCAAGAAGTTAATACTGATTTACTGTGACATAACCCATTTATTTATTTCATTATTAACCCACTGGATTAATTATTTGCACTGTTGAAGAACTGCTAACTGTGATTGTTCATTGTAATATTGTGTGATATCTTTGATAAATGATGAACATAACATCATACACATGAAAATATATATCAGAAGCAGGAGTAGGCCATTTTGTCCCTCAGGCCTGCTCACACTGTTCAATAAGATCATGGCAGATCTGATTATGGCCTCTGTTCTATGGTTCTGTCTATCTCGGATACCATTGGCTCCCTTGATAATCAAGAATGAATCTAATTCACCCTTAAAAATAATCAATGGCCATGCCTTCATTGCTCTCTGGGGAAGAGAATTCACCTAACACCAGCTCCTGGCAAACACCACTAAAACCTTCCTTCACTCCAAAGATACAACTATTAACTGTCAACCAGTTTTGTATCTATGTTGTTATTATCCTTTTTATTCCATGAGTTCTAACTTTGCTCACTAGTCTGTGTGCGGCACTTTATCAAGTCAGGGTTATCTCATCCACTCAATGACTTGTGTGAATCTTGCCAGGAGGTTAGTAAAGCAAACAGTGAAGCTAAGATGATTTGTTGGGCCGGATTTAGAAATCACCATCTCCTAGGAAAGGACTAGATGATTTTATTCTACACTTTCTTCATCTTTTCATACCTCTGGGCCTCACCAGCGTACACTTATAAAAATTAAAACTCAAAGTAACAATAACAGAGGGCAAATAACTCGAAAATAAAACTCCAGAGAAATAGGCGAAGCAGTAAAATTGTATAGCAACTTTTTGAGATAATTAACTGTCCCAAAAGTCTGAAAGAATGCTGGTTAGATTTTTATCTCCAATTTCCTTCCTTTCTTTCCTCTTCTGAAGTCTTTGACTCCCTTCTTGTTGTTGACCTAGTCTTTGATGAAGTATTGATTTGAAGCTTTGTCTGATGCCCCTTGATGAATATTAATATTGATTCCAGTATTGTGTAAGATGCTGAAGAATGAAAGGTGGCCTGTGTTGCGAGTGTTACCTGAGGGATCAATATTGGCGAGGACCCTATATGTTTTACCTGGAAAAGTGCCATTGGATTCTGTCCATCAACCTGAACAGGCAAACAGAGATTCTTTATCGCACATGCAAAAGGCTGCCTTGATTTCAAAAGGAAATTGGTTGGGCATTTGAGGGAAATAAGCTTGCAGGAGAGGGGCTTAAAATGGGCAAAGTGGGACTCAATGGATTGCTTGATAGAGGGCTGGCATCAACCTGATGAACTGGAAAGTCTCCATCTGTGCTGACATGATTGAGTGACAGAAAACTCTCAATCCTGCACTAAAATATCAGCTTAGATTTTGTGTTCAAGTGAGGCTTGAACTCAGAAGCTGGCAGAGATGAAAATGCTGTCACTGAGTGAAGTTGACAGCAAAGAGGGTGGAACATGCGAGCTACATAAAATATGAAAGAATCCCAAAGAAAGAGCAAGCCGGGGAATGGGCATTATTTGAACTCGTTGAGTTATGTTGAACTGTAAAACCATAAGATGTAGGAGGAGAAGCAGGCCAATCAGCCCATGTTCCACCATTCAATGAGATCATGGCTGATCCAAAAATCCTCAAATCCACTTTCCTGCCTTTTCCCCTTATCCCTCATTTTTCTGATGATTAAAAATCCATCTGTCTCAGCCTTGAACAAATGCAAAGTGAAGGTGAAACAACGCTAAGTGTTAACATCTGCAAACCTGTCAAAGCTTTAGCAAGATACATGGTCAATATTTATTTGTCTATTTTATGCATTCTTGAGATGTGAGCGTTACTGGCTAGATTGACATTTTATTGCTGATCCCTAATTGGTGGTGCTGAGTTATTCTTGAACTACTATAAGTCCATCTGATGTAGGAACATCCACAGTGCTGCTAGGAAGGAAGTTCCAGGATTTTGATTGCACAGGATTAAAGGAACAGCGATATATTTCCAAGTCAGGATGGTGGGTGGTTTGGAGGGAATCTGCAGGGGGTGGTGTTCCCATGTATTCACTGCCCATATCCTTCCACCTGATACAGGTTGCCAGTTTGAAAGGTGCAGTAGAAAGAGCCTTGGTGAGTTGCTGCAGTACATCTTGACTATGGTAAACACTGCTGCCATTGTGCGCTGGTGAGAGAGACAATGAATGTTTAAAATGGTGGATTGGATTGTGGTCAAGGGGACTGCTGTGCCCTGAATATTCTTAATCTTCTTGAGTATTATTAGAACTGCACCCATCCAACACTTATCACATATTATATGCAACAAGATATTTGAGTTCCTCAACTGACGCTGATAGTACAGATTTCTCCCAGAAACTTCTGAACAATCATTCATTGGAAGGTTGCTCTGCTGGCTGGGCTGTTATTGTCCATCCCTAGCTGCCCTTGAGGACATAGTGGTGAGCTACCTTCTTGAACTGCTACAGTACCATTTGGTGTAGCTACACTCTCTACGCTCTCTCTGTTGATCGGAACTAAGTTCCAGGATTTTGGAGCCAGCCACCGTAAAGAAACAGTGATATATTTCCAAGTCAGGATG